TTTTTAGTGTTAATTTACGAAACTTGGTACTTATTTCACCAATTATAGAAGAAAGTAGATGATTGTGTCTGTTATCGAAAAAATTAATTTTTACTATTAACACTTTTTAGAAAACATGACATTCAATTTCTAGAAATACCCAGTTCTTTGAAAAGTAGCATTACAATGCTTAACAGAGTCTGATATTACTTGTAGATTGTGTGTACCAGATTTAGTACACATATAAGTTGCTTTACGAATTATATTATTATCAGTTTCACTAGTTTAAATTTTGTAGCTGAACCCTTTGCATTTTACAAATTGTTTGATTCAAACTTTAAAAAGTTGCCAATTTTGAAATGAGAGTCCTGGAACCAATTTCAATGAGTATTCACTTCTTAGTTCATTTTCTTGCAAAGGTATAGCATTAGTATCACATTATATATCCAGAGGTAGATATGTATTATCAATCATATCGACTAAAGATATATTTAATGAGTATCTATTGTTAATTGCGGTGTCATTATTTTTAAAATTAAATGCAGGATTTTGAGAGTCTCGAACTTCATCATGATAATATTAACCTGCAAACATTTGTTCATTATTTTTAGAATTAAATGCAGGATTTTAAGAGTCTCGAACTTCATCTTGATAATGTTGATCTGCAAACATTTGTAAATATGAAGTATTAGAAAGGAGGTTCTGTGACTCTGGTATTTCATTCTCACAGTAAAATTCTAGAAGTTCATCTCTATAGTATGATTTTAAAATTTTATTCTCATAAGATTGATATGTAGAAATTTGTAACTTTAGAGATTTATCATCCTTGAAATAAAGTTAATTTGCTGATGTTTGAGATAAACATTTAATGTACTGGTTGGTGACTCTAAAATTTCATCCTCAAAATAAAGTTTGTTCACAGGTATTCATAAATATAAAGTATTGGTATTGGATATGAAGTTTGGTGATTCTATAATTTTGATAGAATAAGATTAATCCATAGGCGTCAGACAACCGGTTGCAAAATTTTCGTCATTAGATTCAAATGATCGTAGAAATGAT